CGGGTTTTGTTTTGAATCTGCTCGGCGCAGACTGGCCGGGAGCCTCCCCGCCCTCCCTCTTCCTCTCGGCGCCGCACGGGCACCGGATATCCCCACCCTCGCCGCGTCCAAAAGCCGGATTTGACTCCTCCAGGGCGGGGGCGGGGGGCCAGGGGACCCCGCTTCGCGCTCGCCGCCCGCACACAGCTCGCGGCCCCGCAGCCCGGGCCGCAGCCCGGCCCGCAGCGACGCGGTCCCGGCGGCCAGCGCAGGCGCCTCCCCTTCCCGTGCGAAGCGCGCACTTCCTTGCAAGGTGGTACGAATCAACCCCGAGCGCGGCCGGGGCGGCGGGGCACGGCCAGAGGAGCACCGGGGCCGACCGCCCCACAGCCCACGCCCCAGCGTGGCTGCGCGCGCCCGGGGCCCCTGCGCCCCAGGCCCGGGCTCGCGGGCCCCGTCCGCCTTGCGGTGCTGGCTGCCCGTGTCTGTCCCGTGCAAGTTGCAAGAACTAAGCCATTTTCTTTTTTTTTTGGCCTAGATTTCTTATTTTCCGAGAATGTTTTAAGTAGCTTCTACAAGGCTGGTAGGGGCTCCCCCTGGGAGGGAAAGCACATACTGGAAGGTAGCGGGCCAAATTCCCAGAGCACACAAACATTTCAACTTGGAGTTGGCGATGCCCAGGGATTTAATTGGATTGGAGAGATTGCAGCGCGCTATGACGACCTCACTGTAACCCCAGTAGAAAGACTTGCATATCCGTGGCTTCATGCAGCTCCGTGGCGTCCGCTTCTTTGCAATTGTGTTCGTAGACCAGACAATCAGTTCTCTTTTTCATGGCAAAGACAAGTCAAATGTTTTCCTACCCACCCCCCCTCGTGATGAATCAAGTCAGGCTTTAAATTTTTATTAAAAACGTGCATTATAACTTGAAAAAGACTCTTGTTTTCCCCTCACTCACGAGTTACTAAAAACCAAAGGCCAAACAGCGTCCCCCCAAATCTGTCCCCAAACTAAAATTGCCAGAGTGCCACAGACGTCTGTCTCCAGTGCAGGACGGCGCTCCTCCTCGCGCGGCTTCAGTGCACGTGGGTCGGCATGAACGATCACGTTTAAGCATCTGCAGGCGCGGGGGTCTGTCTCCTTAACCTGGCTTCCACGGGGGTCCACGCAGTATCCGCCAGTGGGTGACATAGCAACACGCTCCACGTCCTCCTCACAGGCGAAGTCCTTACATTATGCTGTATTAAGATTTCTCTTTTTGTCATATTGTTTAGCCCCGAAAAAAAAAAAAAAAAGAAAACAAAGCAATTAAAAAGATTGACAGGTATGGCTTGTGTGAGAGCTATTTGTAATTGTCAGGGTGACGTTGGCGGGGAGGAGGAGTAAGGCCCAGCCGGCGCGGCTCGATGTGTCTGTCTATCACTTGAGACTGTCTGAAAGCTCTGCGATCCGATGTGTGTTATATTTCACTGAAAGGAGAGCGGAGTGCATCTCTCTTCTCCCAGGAGTTTGGGGGGACCGTCCACGCGCCTCGTGCCCACCCAGTGCGCGCCTGCTCTGCGCCCCCTTCGCTCACACTCTCCGGGTTATTGTCGTTGGTGGTTTTGGGTTTTTTCCTCCCCGAGGAGGAATTCTGGAGAATTTTTAAACATTTTCCGTGGACGATCAAGACCGGACAGACATCCACGCTCGCGATGTGTTTGCATGATGTTTAGTCTTGGGAGCGGCGGCGAGCTGGGGCGAAGCCCCCGGGACGGGCAGCGGAAAGTGGCGCGGCGCGGCGTGCCGCCGTGTGATCTGTGACTGCTTGAAGGTGGAGCAGAGCTGACATTTCCCATCCGGTGCATGTATGTATGGGGGCTTCACTCCTTTCTTGTTTGCTTTCTTCCTCCTAGACCGAGCGCCGGGAGCAGGAGCAGCGCCGGTAGCGGCCTCGCCGGCGCACAATGAGCCCGCGGCGCCCCGCGCCCTGAACACGCAGCCCCGCGCCCCAGAGCGCCCGCCCGCCCGGCCCCCCAGCCCCCCAGCGAGGGCGCCAGAAAG